TTGGATGGCAACTCGGAATCATTTTCACACCTGCCGGAACTCCGGAGTCAGATGCTCAGCGGCGTGGGCCAGATACCGCTGCAGCGACCGTAGTGCGGTGTGCACTGGTCCAACTCGTCGCGAGTGGCGGCCAAGGATGCCCACGAAGGTCTCGTCTTGCTGCACGGAAGTTCCCAACATGTTTAATGCCCAAGAGTGTTTGCCGCTGTTGATTTTGAGCTCCAAGAAGAGGTGATGCAGCATATGAAACTTGGGCGTCACAGGGAATCTGTCTCGATCCGCTCGCAGACACAGGGAGACGAGGTGTCCGTAGGCCTTCAGGAAGTTGAGGCCACAAACCGCTGCAGTGCGGCCATGATGCTGGTCCAACCAGAGGCCGCCCTGATAGAGTGTGCGGATGCTCAAGTTGATGTTGGTAGCAGCCACCCAAACCCAGTGAAGAATGGCATCGCCTCGTGCTACCTCGGAGTGACACTCGCAGAAGTGTTCCAGGAACTCCATCAACAGAGTCGTGTCACTCGCCTTCTGCCACCCTCCAGATGGCAGCTTTTGCAAACTGTCGAAGCCCATCGTTGTCTCGGAAATGCATCTGCAGTAGAGCTTCTCGTTGCGGTTTGTCAGCCAAGTCTGTGCAAGTCCGTCTATGTAGGCGAAGCGCTCTGGCATATTGTTTCCTGTGGATTTGTAGGATATCGAGTAGCTAAGATACCACCGTTTTTTCGACTCTATTTGATTATAATTGCAGATCAACGACAACGAATGTTACAGCATTGATAAAGCAGCGAGGCCTCTTAATGGAGCTGCAGGGGCTACATGGGCATTGAAGTCCTACAGCACTTGGGACTTGTTGGGCCCAAGTTTAGGGTGTTGCAAAGAAAAGAAACAAAGTTAATCATAATGCGGGCTTTGCAGATCCGAGCAGCCAGGAACCACACGAAGCCACTCGACGACGGCCGAGGCAATAAATGCCTTTCCTGCACCTAAGTGCAGGCAGTGCCAGAAGTCTGGCCGGAAAAACGTGGCCCGATTCGAAGAATCACAATGCAACCGCCGAATCAGCGAGGGCGTCTGCTCCCAAGGCTCTTCGGTCCCGACACTTGGCATCCAAAGCGGAGCATCCACGAAGTCTTCCCAAGGATAGTTGGCCTGTCCAGCACAGCACAAGTGGCAAATCCCATTCAAGGTCTTTTGGCCAGATCGCTTGCTGACATGCGTGTAGCAGCGAGTCAGCCGGCCCAGCTTTGCGAAGAACTGCCAATCTCCGGTGGCTGCTATGATTGGCAGGTGCCACCGCTCGCCGTTCACCTGGATGCCCTCCGTCTGCAGTCTGGCAAGGTCTTTTGCCAGCTCATCAAACATCCGGTCGAGAAAAACACTGTCCGGACCGTAGCACTTCTTCGGCATGACGAAGTGCAAAAAGCGGGTCGCAAGCACTGATCCTTTCAGACTCACCCCACCAGCCTGATTTTTCATCAGTGGAGCATCTGAAAACCAGTTCTCGTAAGCTTTGCAACCGTATCCGATAATTGGGTGTGTGTTGACGACCATCATCGGAAGGTGCTTTCTGCTTCGTGCCTCGTCCCCGTGTAGTAGCAGTGGTATGGTTCTCTCTGGCACCATTGTTCCAGCCTCAAAAGAGTCGTTGATTGTATTCCAAGGCTCCAGGACGGCAAACCTGGCCCAGAACCTGGGATGCCAACGAGTGCCGAAAAAAAATCCTTAATTCTAGGTGGGTACAGAGTTATAAGAGTAACAGGGCTTGTAGGGGTTGCAGAGCTTTAAATACTTACATGATCCTGGCGAAATGACCATATAACATCGATTTATATATTTGGCAGTTACCCAGCATAGATAGATATTTTCTTACATATGTATGTATGTATGTATGCATGTATGTATGTACGTATGTATGTAGGTATGTAGGTATGTACTTCTACATCGAAAACAATTTAACAAATCGGGCACTGATCTTATCCTACATTCTTGAGGGTGCTAAGTGTCAATGAGGTACATAAGATAAAGAGGCCCTGTTCACATACAGGGTTGAAGGCGATGGTTAAACATAGAAGCAGTCTACTCTTTAATTTCCATGGATGGTTGCCTTCAAGCACAGGACGTGGCACTGATCGTCTCTTACAGGCAGAAGTTGGCAGATCTTAATTTTTCTTTATCCTAGCGACCCCCTAACAAACCTGGAAAACCTTGTCAACCGGGGCTACAGCTTGCCGTCTAAAACTTTAGCACAGATAGACTTGAACCTTGGGTGCTGGCAACCTCTATAAACCCTATATATATATATATATAGATATATAGAAACCCTAGAAACCCTATAAACCCTAAACCCTATATAAACCCTAGAAACCCTTATAATGAACAAGCCGACGGTGCTTGCTGAGGACTTGTGTGTCCTGCTCTGCGTACAGTAGGCTGATTTTGTCCAGACCAGCCAGATGTGCATAGAAATCCGTAGGCCGAATCATTGGCATCAGCCCCTTCGGATAGCCAACATCTATCTTCGAGATTGGAATGTCCAGTGCAAAACCAAACTCTTTGAACCTCGGTGAACCCAGGCATCGTACATGTCAAAGGGGTCGCTCTAGAGACCAGGGTTTGAATCTTGATGGATCTGCTGGTGTGATGCTCTTTCTGCAGCTGATTATTGCAACTCAGCTGCAATTCGTGGCTTTTGTCGTCCAGCCGGGTCGGATCAGCTTTTGCTATACCATCCAGAACAGCATCTCTTGCACGACAGGCAGCAGTAGTTGCCCGAGCGAAGCCGGAGACAGTCTGCATAGTGGCCTCAGCAAAAGCCCAGTCATTATACCACATAATCAAAGAGATGCTTGCAGCACGTGCAAAGGTGCGTACCAGTACATTGCTCGACCAAAAGCGCCAAACTTGTTTTTTTTCCCAAGGTCCATATGCTACCGTATCCCGGAATATTGAATTAATGAGTGCTTTTCAAACACACATAAACAAAATAGGGGCCATCAAAATGATCCGGACCCTCGCCTCCCAAAGCTTCATTCATGCAGCCTGGTCGGCCTTTGTACAACCTAATTAAGTGGGCTTCAGTGCACTTGGCAAGCAGGCTCGACACCGACACGGAAATTAAGTGCATTCGGCTGTATCCGTCCTGCAGGTAGCCCTGCACTCTTTCCAACGGATCATGTGTGAAACCGATCTTGTAGGCCACCGAAACACCAGTGAGAACCTGAGATGCCCAAGGTCTGTATTCGAACAGAATAACGACACAACTAAACCCTTCCATAAACTGCGAGATCAGACAAGGCACGACCTGGACCATCTCTTCTGCCGAACGAAAAACCGCACCAGGCGACTTGGGCATCGATATGTCCGGGAGGGCAATCTTGAGGATATCTTTTTGTGACAATATTCGATGCCATAAGGTATGTAGCCGGGGCAATGCAAGGATCTCAGCACTGAAGTACTTGTGATGCTTCCAGTGCACTCTCGGTGCAGCATAAGGACCTGAAGATCTCACGTAGATCGGGGCCAAAGGTTTTCCATACTTGCACATGGTTGTCTTGCCTTCATGCAGCCAAGGTTCTTGGTGTGCTCCCCTTGCAATCCAAGTTGTGATTGAAACATCTCACAGGCCTGTCAGGTCAAAGGCTTCTGGTATCAGTTGCTCCAGCATGTGTAACCGTGCAAGCACTCGAAACCTTGATTCACGAATAATTGACAAGGCAAGATTCTTGTACTGCGGAAAAACCAGGAGCTCGTCCAGCCATTCGTCCATAGCAGGCTCTAGGTTTCACCAGGTCATGTGGAAGTCCACTGAACTCAATTGTATTCAGATCGAATGCATGTGCATGCTTGAAGACTGAAGCCCCAAAGCCGAAGCATCTGCAGTAAGAGATGACCAACTTCGCATCATGAGGCTTCGGCGGCGTGCTGCTGGCATCTGGGTATCTGGGTCCACGGCTCCTCGCACCATCTGCTTTGCGGCTTCTCGGCCCATTTTGCCTGGACGACCTGGCAATGCAGTGTTATAGGTTTAAGGGTTTAGGGTTTATAGGGTTTAGGGTTAGGGTTGGCATTGGTAGGGTTAAAAATATATGCACTTCAGGGTTTACACGATTTGCTTCGGGTCGTTTCTGGGCGGGAATAGAAAGCCTGGAGAGCATGGCTTCTAGCAGGACTTCCAGCTTCGGGTCTTCTAGACTTATAGGATCTACTTTTTATGGGGGGTACACGAGTCTAAAGTATCAGAACTTTCCGGCTATTTCATTATATTGGAGTGGTTTGCGAGCTGGCCCTGACGAAACACTGATTTCTTGCTGGCGTGACGATGCCTCGTATCTCCCCGAGGTCCTACTGACCTTTGAAAAGCTACCTTTCGAAGCAAGCTCTCGGCCCTATGTGCATCTATCTTCAGCGATGCACTCGTGGCCGGTCGAATCCTAGATTTGACTCGAACACCAGTAGGCACGGGGACCTTGCACATGAACCAAGGGCTGCAGTCCTATGATAGCAGCAAATGGAGACATGGAACATCGCATCAAGATCTACATAAGAAAGTTATGGGGCTTCTAGGGGCTTTAGGTGTCTATAGGTACTTACTTATATAGGACTATCCGGGGTTGCAGGGTACATAATCGTGAACGTGCAACAAAGTGTCCCGTAGCCTACTTCGGTCATCCACACTCTACCGGAAAGAGGTGATGCAGCATATGAAACTTGAATCGTACCTTCGATTCGACCATCAAAACTCGGTACGTAGGCTCAGCCACCTTGCAAATCAGGATTACGGCCCTCTGTTAGCAACAATCACATAGTGTACATCGCATAAACTTGGGTTTTTGGGTAGGTAGAGTTTACAAGGGTTTAGGGTTTTTAGGTCTCGAATCTACAAAGATAAGAAAGTGCTCAGTGTGTAGTAGAATGCACAAATATGCAGCAAGGTGATCCGTCGCCTACATCCAGCCTCTGTAGGACTCTAAGCCGAGGCTTTGGCCTTGGCCTTGCTTTTCGCCTTCGCCTTCTTTTTAGGCTGCGAAACCGGGCTTGCACCATTGCCGTTTGGGGGCTTTTCGGAAGTGCCGGCTGGAGCTTTCTGGGGCATCTTCTTCGCTTCAAGAAGCGACGGTTGAACCTTGCTCTCAAGGCTCGCACACTGGCATGCCCTCGGATGGCAATGGCTCAGGCACGAGGGTCATGCCATGCGGAGTGTCACAAAAGCACGATTAGTTGAAGCCAAGGTTCAGAATGGAAGCGGTGTCCACAGCAATCATGATTTCGTCCTTGAGCCTTAGGAGCAGATAAGTCCCGAACCAAGAAAGACGTGTGATGATTGAATTGCAGAATGCGACCGAGGGGCTTGTCGGAAACACGGATGGAGGCGGTAGCCTTTAAGACAGACATCTGGTCGTAGTGCTGCTCCATAGAATCAGCATGCTTCGTCATAGCATCGGCGTGCCTGCAAATAGCAATCCTTCTAGAAACTCATGTTTAGTCGGATCCATATAACTTGGTTTGTGTGTGATGACAGGGAGGACTGCCTCTTCTGGATGTCGGAGATAGACTCAAGCCCTAGCAGCACAGCAGAGCTTTCCCGAAGCTTGTGAATCTTCTGCAGCAGCTCCGACCAAGCCCTTTCCAACATATTCCGAGGGTCCTGAAGGTTGTCGTGATTCAAGAGCATGTGTAGGATAGCTGTTCGGGACTCGCGTGCGTGGACACTTTCACGATCATATGCACAAATTAAGGCAGGGCTTAAGCGTTTTTCAAGGCTTTACATATTGGCGGTCTCAGGAGGTTTGTGGCTTTTCGGGATCTATTACTCCATATTCCCTAAACCCCTAAACCCTATATAAGCTCAGAATAAACCCTGAATAAATCTATAAATATATATATATACACATGTATATATACATGCATACACAAGCCCTGCATGTATACCTAAACCCATATAACCAGTCGATCTATATCTACATATAAATATATATATATATATCTATCCTATAAACCCCTAGGTTCTCGGTTTACAGCGGGCCTTAAGGGCCTTCAGAGTGTATATACGGTTTAGGGGTTGGCGTTTTAAACTATTGCCGGCATTCGCACTCGAGGGGTTATTAGGGTATATAGGGTTTGTAGGTTTTCGGCTTCATTGTTTGTTTCATTGGGGGGGTTGTTATGGCCAGGCGGCACTCTCATCGCCGGTGGCACCGGAGCTCGGGGGCAAGGCATCCTTGCCGCCTTCGAAAGACAAGCTAACCTGGGCCATTTCGGAGGCTTCTTTAGCAGCTTCTTCGCTCACGACTTTCTCGTTGTCCTTCTTGACAATTTGTCCTGTCCATTGGGTTTCGACCCAATGTTGCACCACAGATTCATCATACTTCCATTTCCTCAAATCATGCAGGCAGTTGGACATGAGCTCAGGCAACATGTTGTGCATGTTTAATCTAGACACATATATGACGAATGCAAGCTTAAAGGGGGGCTGTCCGGAATAATTCATCAAAGTGGCCGCTGCAGCAGTGCGGGGTTCTTGCTTGTGTAGTCCACAATCTTTTTGATAGTCTTCCTTAGCCGGAGAATCTTGCATCTTAACATTGCATGATCGAATATAAGCATGCTCGCTCTTTGAAACATGGGTGACTAGACCCTCCAAGCAACACATCGTACCCCAGCTTGTCCTTCATCTCCTGCTCCGTGTACCATCCGGCATCCACAGTCAAGGACTTTTCCTTTTCCTTCGTCACAATCTTCTGCGTCGCAATAGCGAACTTCTTCTGGCAAGAGCGGAGAACACAAAGCTTATATGCCTATATAGTGCATGCGAACTAATCACATACATGCACAGCAGAGTGAGGATACCTAGCCTCATTGAAGCCCGAGTCCACCAGCAGGCGTCCAAGCTCTTTTCGTTGAGACACGTCTTTGTAAGCAGTAAAGGCTGCCTCTCCACCGGGGCATTTGCCCGACTTTCGTCTGGCACACATCCTCCTCAGCCTTTGCTTCAGAGCCTCCGTACTCAAGACCTTAGTTGATCGCACAGAATCCATGCATGAGGTTGTGTCCTAAGTAGCATGTAGCCAGTTTGCCTTCCCCGTCTTGGGGCACACCACAGGACCGAGGTCCCAATCATCATCACCGGCAGGCTCCTCTTGATCTGAAGATCCGGCATCTGAGGCATCTGGTCGAGCGATAGAAGCTGGGGTCGGCGGAGGCGGATTGGCAGCTGGCTTCTCGGCCTGCAGTGAGAGCAACTTCTTCTGAAGCTCGGCTTGCTTCTGCTGAAGCATCAACTGCTCCCGTTGCAGCTGCTGCAGCTGCTTCATCTCTTCAGTATCCTTAGATTGGCTTGTCACAAACTGTCTAGGTACATATATGATCAGTCTGTGCTGAACTTGGACAGTATAAAGCAAGCTGCTTCAGCAGTCGGTTTCTCCGTCTTGACCAGCCCAAACCGCTGCTTCTTCGCCCTCTGGCCCGACAACGATTTCCCTGAGTTGAGTGAGAAATCTGACCCTGCTGGGCTGCTGCCCCGAACCGTAGCCAAACCCACAGAAGGGCTCGGTGAAGTCAAGAGGGTGTCGGCGAACATCGGGTCCAGATCCTTGGGACTAGGCACCTTGGCTCAGATGGACAACAGCGGGGGCACTCTCTGGGGGTAGTCAACTCCCTCCCTCTCTCTCTCTCTCTCTCTTTCTTTCTCTGTCTCTCCTAATTAACTATGTATGTATGTGTATATATAT